ACATATGTATACATGCATATATATATTTATATATATGTATCTATATATATGTATATGTATGTTCATATATAGAAGAATCAAATTGTATAATAATATTAGCACAAATAATAGTCTAGAGCGACAATAAAATGTATTTCAAATGTGAGAAATATCAATATGTTGATGATTATTTTGATTATACCCTATAATGCAGCGCAAGAGGGTATGCTGGAGGATGAAAAACATTCCAGAAAGTTAAGTTATGTTCTAGTAAACATGTATATCAGAAGAGCATGTCTAACAAATCAAATTAGACCAAAACGTATGGATATACATTAATCAACTTACATATATGTATGTATGTACATATATCTAATTAAAATCCAAGGTACTGTGTAAAGTCTAGTTAACATAAAGTTTTGCTTATGTGATTAATTAATAAGCTGCTCGATTTATCTTTATACGTCGAAATTTTTACAAAGATAATATATACATAGTTAATAGTTTATACAAGCAAAGCAATCCACAGAGTATTTGCTAGTCCATCACTATTCAGACACACTGTCACTTATTATTAACCCAATTAGTGCATAATACTATAATTGTCACCACAGGTAGGCAGATAGGAGGTGTTGGGGTGGGGTGGTGCCCTGAGCCCATCCGACCACAAAGACAAACAGCTTCTGACATTTGCACAGCTCGTTCGATGAATTGAACTGTGCAATGTGCCAATGGAAATGTAAATGGAAATAGAAAAGGGTAATGGAAAATGGTGGAAAATATTCTCATCAACTAATGTCAGGCAACAACAGCAGCCATGAAATGTGAAAGGTGCAAACCGTAGCGCGACTTTAATTAAACAAAATAGTTTGTAATGTAATTCAATATGCCGCATGTTCATCTATATGTACATACATGTATACAGAGGTATGTGTGTGTACGCGTATGTGTGTGAAAAGCATATAAAACTATCAGCAAACACCTGTCGACTGTTTGCATATCGTCGACTCTAGAACTTTAGCGCGCTTGTAAAGCGAATGCTGTCTGTTAGTTAATTGCTGTTAAAGAATTAATATGTCAATTAAATACTCGATTATTAGCTTTAATAGAGAGCGCAAACATTAACAGTATAAAGTCAACGTGTCTATGGCTATATCTAAGTAGTCTGGACATTCAATCAGATCTAACTATACATGTACTTATACATTTCATCTTCTTTCCCATTCGGATCTGTGCTTACGCACATTTCAGTACTAATTATTATAATTAAAACTGTATTATCATCTTAATTTTAGTTTGTTTTGCCATTATATCACATAATATCTGCATAATATGTATATTATCAACATGTTTGTGCATTTATTCTAATCAAAGTATTTTTTGCTTATTCTTTATGTTCGAATTCGCCAAAAGTATAACACCTTTTTTACCTGTTATAGAAAAAAGTGGTTAAAGTGCTTGTGGCTTGTTCTCTTACAGTTTGAGTAGCACTTTACGCAATCCAATATCACTCACCGTCGCAATGGAGCGCTTTTGCTCTCTGTCCTCTCTCTCTCTCTCTTTCTCTCTCTATTGCTCCCCTTCTCTCTTCATACTCTGATATCTTACGTTCGTTTTTGCGGCTGGCTGCTCTTTAAGCAATTGCCACATGCTCGTTGTTGCAAATTTGTTGCATTTTTAGCTAAAGCACGCGCGCACTCACACAAAGAGATGAACAAAAAAAAAAACAAAAACAAAAAAACACACACACACAATAAAACACAACACAAAAACCAAACAAACAATATTTGGAGATCAGACCAATAACAATAACAACAACATTTTGGATAGCGTCGCGCACTTTTGCCTGCCTGTTACCTTGTGTATAAGAAGTAACTGTATTTAAAGCTTCTGTATTTTGCCCTGCCAAACAATCGAAACCGAAACACGTTGCCGTCGTCGCCGTGACGCGGCTTCTATGTGCTCATGCTTGTCTATGCGTGTGTGTATATTTGTTCTTTGGATTTTCGTTTGTTTTCTGTTTATCGGGCAATGTGCGCGAGTGCGAGTGCGACTGCGAGTGGGCTAACGGGAAAAGCTCAGCCAAACAACTGACCGGCTGAGAGCGCCACAGCAATGGATACGCGCTCGCCATGCAGTCGCTACCGCTGACGCCGCTGCCGCCAGCGCCATCATTCGTTTATCAAAGCCCAACGAAAGTGTAAAAAGGAGAGTGTGGTGAGAACACAAATGTGAGCGTATGCGTGGCTAACGATCTGCCGATCGTGAGAGCGCGAGAGTGCATATTTGCTAAATTCGCTCACAGCATTTTATATGCATATCTCTATCTTTATACGAGCCTGCGCGTGTGTGTGTGTGCAATGAATGTGCGGCAATTGTTTGTTATTGTAGCTTTATTGCACAATCTTTACATCAAGCAGCCAGGCAAACAAGCACAAAAAAAAGTATAACAATAACGAAAGACCGATGGCGAAATACCCTGTAATCCATGTATTTGTGTATATCATTGAAATGTCTTTTATTAGAATATATGTCACGTTGATATTTATATCAAGAAATTTATCATAATGACGCACAAGATTATATTTGTTCGTGCGTTATATAGTCTCTACATTAGATTTGGATAGGGTATATCAGATTTACCCGTCAAGCGGTCACTTTCGCTGCGATGCAAATTGCAATTGCCCTACAACTGTGAACATATGAAAAAGGAACAAGTGGCTGCAATGCTGGCCAGTGCTACTCAAACTTTAGCATGCAGCAGTGAGCAGTGTGCAAAGAGAGCGTGCGAGACCGAGAGAGGGAGTGTGTGTAAATTTTGTTTTTGCTTTATTTATAATGGGCTTTTGCACAATTTACTTTTGTATATGCTTTGTATGCCAGTCAGCCGCCTTCTCACACCTCTCTCACACTGTCGCTCTCGCTCGCTCTGCCTTTCGCTCCATTCAATTGTGTTTGCGTCGGCGTGCATAAGTAAATTTCTTCTAATTTAATATTTTGTTTACATTATTTATTTATTCATTTACTTATGTATCTGGTGTGCTCGACCGACTGACTCCCTCACTCGCTCTCGCTCTCGCTGTCTCTCCCTCTCCCTCTCTCTTTATTAACGCATTTCACCTGCCAGTCGACGTCGCTGCTTTTATGCTAATTGAAGCTGGGAGTCAGGCTGATAATGCTGATCTTACCGAACGGTGACAAATTTATAACAAGAAAAAGAATATTGATATTACCGTTACACGTAATGTGAAGCAGTCTTGATTGAAGTTTGAAAGTAACTGTAAAATAGATTTGCTCATTTATGGAACCAATCAGACTTGTAAATTTCTGGAAGGGAAAGGGAAATAAAAGGGAGGGACATTTAGAAAATAAGGGAAATAATTTAAATTTGGGAATGAAATCGTAGGGAAATATTTGTTTGTATGTACATATACAATATAACAGAGTTATTTACTTAAAAAAGGTGTTATACTTTTGGCGAATTCGAACATAAAGAATAT